AAATCTGCCCCTGCTAGAATCAAACTTTTACACAAGTACCATTTCCTTACAAAGTAACTTACAAATAGACCAGGGGTGTCAAACAAAAGGCCCGTGGGCCAAAATCGGCCCGCTGGGAGGTTCAATCTGGCCCACTTGATGAACTTTGAAAGTAAAAAAATGCACAAACACTCCATGTTTATGATGTTTTGTGAATGTATATTTCATTAAATATGAATATTTTCTAATGTACAATATAAACAAACATGGACTTATTGTTATTTATAAGTAATTCTGTTATGATTGTACTGGTATGATTGTACTGTGGTCCCTGAACCAAAAATGAGTTTGACCCCCCCTCCCGAAATAGACTGAAGATCAAACCAGTGACTTTCTTGCTGTAAGGCACACTAATTAGCCGCTGACTCCACCGTCTCGCCCCTCAATCCACGCAATGTTATTAGAGGTCGACTTAGTTATTATGATTAATAACATGTTATAAAGTAGTATTACTTCTTCTTTGTACCCTTAAGGTCAATGATACCTTAAACCATGTTTGACATTTATTAAAGTATTTGACCTGAAAACTCTTCACTTCCTCAATTCGCCAAAGTCAAACTAGGAAGTTTTACACCAGCTTGTGAGTTACCAAGCTGATATTTCTGTTATTGTTGTGGGGAAATTTAAAGAATATGTCCAAGTCCAATAAAATGGAGATTAATATTAAACAGTTTCCCTGTCCCAAGTCCAATAAAATGGAGATTAATATTCAAACAGTTTCCCTGTCCCTGTGGCTAGCTAAAATTATACAAAATACAATATGGAGCTAAAGAGTCCCAATAAAAAAGGTATTTTGTTCAGTACCTAAAGTGCCATGTTTGAATGAATACAACTAAAATGACCCCAGTTATATTTCTTCTTCTCCGTTCTTCTCCTTCTTTTTCCAACTTGAAACTGCAGCAGCTACTGTGCTTTTCACTGCACTGTATTTTACTGTATACTGTACATACATATTTCATGCTGTATTGACATTCTGCTGCCGGTAATGATCCCAGTAGCAGTTTGTAGAATGTGTGTGTGTATGTATGTGTGTGTATGTATGTGTGTGTATGTATGTGTGTGTGTGTCCTTTTTGAAATTTTCAAAAACCGATCCCAGAACTTCTGCAGCCATAAAGCGGTGACATCAGTCGTGAATCAAAGTTGAATCAATGCTATACTATGTCGCTAGCTGCCGTGTAGATGCTTAATGCATATGCACACATTTATTATGTTGGGTTCATTCCAACGAACATTTATCTCTGCGACCGATGCTCACACTGTTGCTCAAAAGCTTTTTCTTTTTCCTGCTAGTGATTTTCCCCTGCTTTTATTCGTAAACTTCAACCGAAAAACATTATTTGACATGTTATTGCTGCCGGGTGACGAATGTGCTTGTTAGTAAAACTGTGGTAACAAATCAGTGACAAAACTTTCCCAGAGTTTGATTTTGTTTTGTTTTTTTTGTTCACTGTGTACAGAGTGGTCAACTGTGACAGCTTCTTTCGGTTAGAGTTATAAACATGTCCGAATTTGACAGTTTACTAGCTTTACTTTGTTGACTAACTGCGGTCACTGCAACACAGCAGGTGAATAGTTTTTAGTCAGCAGTATTTCAAAGGGGCCCAGGGGCAAAAATGCAGTCCTGGCCACTACATCAGATGAAAAAAAGGAACACCTGCAGTTTGCGGAAGTCTTAGCAATTTCTTAGCATGAAAAACATGTTAGCAAGCCAGTTTTTCATGCTAAGAAATTGCTAGGACTTCCACACCAACAGGGTCCTTTATACATTTTCTCTGTAGCATTAGCATAAAATACTGTCCTCTTAGCTTATATACTAGCTTACATACTAGCTAACACAACACCACCATATACTCAGACCAAAGCAGTATACAGGGGGTCCTTTTGTTGCAGTTCTGTTCCTACAGTACTGTAAATACATACCTATGTTACTCACCTATGCTAACACAGTGCTAACATCATAATCTAGGACATAGAAACATCAGAAAAGTAGTTTTAACGTCATATGTCAGAATGATGGAACAAGACTTTCTCAATACATTTATGTAAGATGGTGACGTAATAACAAAACAGTACAGGTTGAGGACGTTCGTAAACCGAGGACCCCCTGAGGTCACAAATGGTGTGGCTTGCTAATAGACTCCAGGTCATTTTAGTGCAAAAAGAGAACAAAAAGGTTTTCAAAAACAATAGTCATTTTTTTAATTTTTATTATTGCTCCTCACCGCTTATCTGTTCTTAACGCTTCCTTTTCTTTCTTTTAATAATACGACAGCTGCACGGGTCGACATTCCTCTGGCAGAGACGTTCCTCTTTGAAGAGTCTAAGTCTGCCTGCCTGAGCGCTAGGTTTGGATGGGACACGCACACGGGAGGCCACTTGAAGTGAACCAAAAATGACATGTTTGAAACTGTTTTTAAAAGCCGACTCCACACCGTTATGAATACATTATACTTCAAATGTTCCTGCACAGATTGACTCTGGTCCGTTAATGGCGACTGTTCTGCAGCTTTTACACTGGCTGGGCTCCAACCGGCCCGATTTTATTAGTCGTGATTATCATTCACTTGGCAACTCTTAACGACCAGCAGTGGAGCCAGGTTCTCACACAGAAGCTTCGTAATAGGAAATAAAAATGCACTTTTCTAGCTATTGTATTTTTTTTTATCACTATCCACTGAAGCTGTGCGGTAACATCCAGCCTCAGTCATTTCCACGTGCCCATGGATGATGAAGAGTAAGCATAGCTAATGCTGCTTCTACTCTTCTAGCCATCCTCAGCCTCTGTATCCACTGATGTTACAAAGCTCCATTCTGACATGAACAAAGCTGGATTGTGTCAGTGCCCATTACCATGCTGGTGTTTTTAATTAGGATTACGCAAAGCTGTAAACATTAGAATACATATAATAATGGACAAATTGACACGTTGTGTTGTGATTAATGTTTAATTTGAAACGCTCAAAATGGAAAAGGCAGCTGTTCGCCTCGGTTTTTTTTTTAAATATATATAGTTTTAATAAGTCTGGCTCAGTATGCACCCCACGAGATGTTCTATATACATTTTTA